GGCTCAAGCCTCGATCCTGTGTATCAATCTGAGAATCCGTAGCGAATATGTGCGCTCTGAGGTTGGAAATTTTCTTACCGCTTACCCACCGTGCGTTTGCCGCGTCAGCGGTGAGCGTTGAATCTAACTTAACCTTGCGATTATTCCCCGATTCATTTGGTTACTCCGCCTATGTACTTTTGATCTCCAGTTGTTTCGCTCATTCGTATTCGCCGCTCACCTTTCCGCAGAGGGCGTCCGGTCCGACACTTGGTATTTGACATGTGTGTCTGTGTGAATGTGCGCTGGTGTCCTACTTACCCACGTGCGTTCATCTTTTTTCTGCTGAGCCTGCCTTGACTTGTTTTCTCATGGGTTCGGAGTGATCGCACGTCCAATGAGAATCACGGGACCGTCGTCGGAAGGACCGACCGCAACCCACGCTACTGATCCATCATTCTGCCCGCCGTTGTTTGGTGTGTGGACGTTGACACTACACTGTGCCGATGAGTGACCGACCTGTTGACGCCACGAACGTGAACAATTCAGGTTTGTTGTACACATTGCTTACCGTTGTGTAAACAGTACCGTAGAATCACGAACCCAATTCTTCCTTTTGATATTCGGGCTTGTCGGACCTACGCGTCACTCAAAGTTCCGTATCGGGAAATTTTACAGTGAGAAACCTTTTGGGCAAGCTTTGTTTAAACAGGGCATAAGCAGGAATTAGGTCACGTCGGAGACCACGACACTCCATGGGAGAGAGATCAGGGACCACGAGCTGCGTTTATTAGTCCACGGATTTTAGGCTGGCAACAACATTCGTATCGGCTCGCTGGACACGCTCAATGAGGGTGAGGTCTTTCGTGTCTCCTGAGTAGACAACTTAGTTGGCATGTTCAAGGGGTAGTCTGACGTAGGAAGTTGATGTGAGTAATACGGGTGAAAGTGCGCGGAATCATCCGTAAAATGGCGAATGCCTTGCCTTGCCGATTTCCCAAGGTGCAGTGGGAAGAATATATTTGAGGAGAGCCAGATACCCATGTCATTTTAGTACCTATCTTCGTTATCTCCCCCGGTCCAATCACCAAGCATGACAAAGGCATTCGCTGAGTCTCCCCCAAGAGACACATGGACGCACTTTTCGTCAATAGGTGGGAGGCGCCAGTCCAACGACCACTGCTTTGCAGCGTCTACATCCATTTGGAGGGCACTGAATGGGAATCCTGGATTTCCAGCTGTCCGCAAAGAGTGGACAGGCATTGTAAGAATATCTGGAACGTTATTAATAATGATGATAATGTTTATT